AAGGGGACCACACCCAGCCACGGCTGCAGGGACTCCCAGGCCGGCTTGTGGAGCTGTAGGGGGCCCGGGGCTGAAAGTTTGAGACTCCCGATCCATTTTCCTATTTCCCTCCCCATCCCCCACCCCACCCTGCCTCCCTTGCCTACTCCTCCTCTGCTGTTCCCTCCGCGCACGGCCGGCTCCCGTGAGGTTAGCTGCCCAGCCGGCCTTTCACCGCAGCGCACTTGTTCTGTCGTGGTTCCCAGCCCCCCTCCCTGCGGCTGGGGATCCCCCGTGCTCGGAGAACAGGGGCTAGAGCCGGACGTGGCTACGTCTCCCGAGCGCCGTGGCAGAGAGTCGTTTAACGGGTGGCGGCCAAGAGGGAAATGGAGACCTTTTGGGTTGGGGGTATGGGCTCGAAGGGACGTCCTTATGCTGAGCAGAATCAACAGCAATGGCTGAGGTCCTGGCTTGCAGAAAAGAGCAAAATCTAACGCGGTCTGAGAACAGGTGCAGGACGGGGCTTCCCTCTTTTTAAGAGCAGGGCTGGAGCCGGGAGGGCTGCCCAAATCGGTTCCCTGGGCCCGAGGGAGGCCTCCCGCACAGGGTGGGGCCCCTGGACTGAATGAAGAAAGGCTTGTGCACAAATTCACTTTGGAAACTACGTGACTGTCCCTCCCTTGTCCTTGGTGCCTCCCGGGGACTTGGACCTGCTTGTTCAAGTCCTTGCCCTGCTCTATAGCTCCTGCAAGCTCTGACGGGCCTGGCCCACTGGGAGAAGCCAGATGTACCTCATGTGACTCTCCGGCCCCAGAGCCCACTGCTCCGCCTCGGCGCGGTGTTATCTCTGCAGCCAGGGTGCCCAAGAAAGCGCTGTAGCGTTCAGTCCATGCTTGGCACCACGGCCACTTTTTTGCCGATAGACGTCCCCATGTAGAAATTGGCGGAGACGGCCGCAGGTTTCAATGACAGGTCACCCTCTGCCACGGACAAACCAGCACGCCGGGGTGCTGTGCGTCTGCCCTGCTCCCTCCCAGCGCTTTGCTCTGGCTCCTCTCCGCTCCAGGGTGTCTGGGAGCAGTGCAGGGGGAGGGGGGCGTCTGGTGACCCGTCGCTGCAGAGTTCTCGGCACTGATTCCGAAAGCCGCGGGTGCCTGAACTTGCCCGTGACAGAGCCCTGGTTTGCTGGCCGGGGGTGGGGGCACCGAGCAGGGGGGCACAGGGAGAGCACAGCCCTGTCCTCTGTCTGAAACAGGCTGGCAGAGAATGTCTTCAAGTGAGGGTGGCCTCATGGCATGCCTTGAAAAGCCAAACTCACAGCAGAGCTGGATCAGCTGGGGACGAATGCCTGGAGAGAATGAGGCTTCATCCACGCCCCTTCCTCTGCCCGGCTGGGTGCCCAGCACCAGCCTGCGGGCCCATCCCCGTGCCCTGGCACCGGCCAGCGGTTCGGGGTTCTTCGCAGAGCTCGGCCCTGGCAGCCCGAAAACTCTACTCGGTGCGTTTGGGTGGCCTGGCCTCCGTCTGCTCTGCACGTGACTGCCTGGCAGGGCCTGAGTTTCTGTACCCACCCTGCCCGTGCACAGCGGTAACTATGCACATGGACCCTGCCTACAGAACGGCGCACACCTGCTTCTGAACCAGGCAGCAAAGATTGTGTTTACCTTGGCGATTACTTGAACTCACAATGTTTCTTCTCTTACGTTCCCCTGCCCCGGCCCACAGCCATTTCCCCCCACGCCTTGGGGGAGGGCAGAGTTTGATTTTGGGATGGTTTAGCGCTACTTTCAGGGTGGGGGTCCAGTCATCTGATCACACTGCTGCACCGCCCCGTGGTTTCCCCCTCCAGCTCAGACTGTCAAACCGCTTTATTTCCACTCTACCACAGGTGGCTGGCTACCTTGGTCACATCCCCGCCCCTCCCCACCGACTGTTGCGGGGGCGGGGTATTGCTGCATGTGTTACTGTTGCCACATGCTTGTATTTCCCCAGCCTGTGTCCAGCATGCCTGGACCATCCCCCATATACATCCTTTGGACACACGAGCTTGCTGCAGGATAAAAATGGACCACTGGCTTCCGGCAGGCAGCAGCGAAGGAGCGTGGGGTTTGAGCCTGTAATATAAAGTCTTTGGCAAGAAGTGGACAATATTCAGCCAAAGGGGCAACTGGAAGTAGGATGTCAGGCTCTCGTGCACTGTATTTGTGAATGTGCGTACGCGTCTGTTAGACTATCCAAAGCTCGGCCGAGAAATCCGTGTAGGATTGGATCGGAAAGAGAAATCTATCGATATATTTTTAAATACAGAACTTAAACACTGTAGCCACTTTCTGTTTCCAGGGGCCTGTAATCTCTGTCTGTTGGTGGATGTAATAAATGTCATTGGGTCGTTGCCGCGTCTCTTTCCATGGAGCCAGCCGTGGCCGCCGGTGGTGAAGACCGGCGCTGGAAGCCTTCCGCCGTTGCTCTCCCGCCTCAGAGGGGTGAAATGGCGTCGGGGCAGAGGCACGGCTGTACAGGATCAGACTCGGTATCTCCGCTAGGTCCATTCCGCTCCTAGGATGCGAATGCGCTCTCGGCCAAGCCCAAGCCGGGGTGGGGGAGACGTGGCCGAGGCTTTTGGGCCTGCCTGGGTGGTGAGAGCCTGTTTCTGTCTCATGTGCATCCCAGGGCAGGGTAGGGGGGGAAAGGACGAGGGAAGTAGGAAGGCCGATGAAGCCAAGGGGACAGGGCGTTTCTCGTTCAACGCCGTGGTGGCAGAGCGCCGACCAGCTCCTGCCGGGCGTGGCTCTAGTGGATGAGGGAGACAGGAGCAAGACTTTCTTCGCTAGTGCTGAGTGCCGGGTTCTGAGCCAGGACTGGGGCCTTTATGCTGCCTGGAGTTGGGACGGCACTGGGCTCCTGCGGGTGTACTAAGGTGCCCCTGTCTTGCTGCCTTGAGGCCTGTCCCAATCTCACCTGTGTTGCCCTTTACTCTGTTACAAACCCCAGCGGGGCTGCTCGCCTGCTCCGCAAACCCTCCCCGGAGCACAGCCACTGGGCCCGGATGTAGCTCCTCCCCATGGCCCAACGTGTGCGAAGAGGAATGAGCAAAGGCCCCGCTGGCCAGTCGCAGGGCTCAGTTAAGTCGGTCCCTAGGAGCCACGTTCGTTTAATTTATTAAGCTAGCTCTCGGCATGGGGCCTTTCCATCCCAAGGCCTCCAGCAGGAACGACCTTACGCTCCCAGTCCTGCACCTCGCTTCTGTTTGTCTCTCCCCCCATCCACCTCCCTGCGTTCCTTTGGGCACCAGCTGCTTGGGTGGGCAAAGAGAGCTCCAGCCTGGCCAGGAGACGGAAGAAAAGATTAAAGGAAACAGTCGGTCTTTGCTCCAGCGCCTGGCTCCCCAGGCACCGTACGAAAGTCTTTGGTCAAGTTCTTAGAGGAAGGAAGCTTCTGAGCTATGGCTGACATTAAACTTCAGGAAGGGAGTGGTCCATGGAGGACTTCATCACGCTGGGTGACAGCCTAGGAAGGAGATGGGGGAAGGCCAGTTAGGAAGGGTTTGTGCAAAGGAGCTGCCCAGTATCTTCTCCTGGCAACTCTACTCCGTCCTCCGACTTACACGACTGCGGGGTGGGGAGTGAGAGGGGAGGGGAGGAATTAGCTCGTCACAGACAGCACCAAAAACTGGTGCCAGGTACAAGCCTAGCGGATGGGGCACCCGGGGATGCCCAGTGACAGAGGAGGCCCCGGCTCCTGCCCAGTGAGAGGGGAAGCGCCCCACAGGAAGACAGAGGAATAGTCCCACAAAAAGCCTGCTGGGGGAGGTGGGAAGGATA